GTGGAATCAGTGGCAGAGTGCGGTGGTATGAGCAAGAGTAAAAAAGGCCAGGACGATGCGGCAGAGGGCGATGCGGTAGTAGGCAAGGAATGGGCAGGTGGCCACTGTGTGCACGTAGCAACTAGTGGAGAAGGAGGACGAGCATGGGACACTCAAACACGGAAGCACGGATGGACCAGTGAATGGCGAAGTGGGCGTGGTTGCGGTATTTAAAAGGCATGGCGACGGACGGGGCGTCGATGGATAGTGAGCGAGCGGCGCGCTACGTTGCGACAGTTCGGCCCGCTATGGCCACAGCGCGGTTTGAGCGCACGGATGGTTACGGCAAGTCCGGTGGCCCCAATGGTAAAGGAGGAAATGTGCGAGGAAGCGAAGAAAGCGTGCGGCAACGAAGGCGACCACATTGCCAGTGCTGAAGAAGGCGGATCGCCAGAGGAAGCCAAGGAACCGGCTACGACGATACCGGTAGAGGACGTGATCAACGACGTGGACGACAAGGCGCTGGACGTAGAACCACACGAGGACGGCGTTGACGTAGCTGCGGTACGTGCAACACGCAAACTCGCGCAGAAACAGCGCAAGCGAGCGCGACACTACATAATTCACTGGAGACTCACACTGGACCTTGTCGCCGAGCTGCATTCACTCAGTACCAGCCACAGTGAAGCGCGCGCCACTGTCTAACTTGACACACCGCTGCTCGCCTGACACCGACACAATGGCTGTGGGTAGATCGTCATCAGCCTCTGTGTACCGCACAGAGTCGCTTCCCGTCGTTTCCTTCGCACTGTGTTCTCGCTGTAAGAGACGCACACTCGCATAGTCGCCACCTTGTCCCCGAGACACAGCGTTACCAGGATGTTCACGTTGCCCGTCTAGCTCCTCCATCGCTTCATTTGCTTTCCGTCTCCGGTGGAATTGCCTTCGCTTTCCGCTGCTTGGCGCTGCAGCTCTTCTCGCGCCGCGGCTCGCCGAGTCGCCAGTACCTCCTGGCATCGGTGGATTTTTGCTGGACGTGGTGGGCGTCTGGAGCTTGAAGATGTCGTGCATTTTTGGGGAGACCATTTACGTACAGGCCTGCGTTGTTGACGGGTGCACTACTGAATTCCTGCTGCGAGTGGACTTCATGCGCAAGCACGGAGCAACCATGGATTATTGTAGTAATTAGCTCAAATACAAGGAGGGTAATTAGACGGTGATTATTCCCTTTAGGAGGTCCGACCAGGAAAAGGGCGCGAGAGTGGCGGCGGTTCGTATGGTGAGGAAGCCTCGACTCGGACGTGGTACCATAACGCCTGTGGAAGTTGCGGTGACGGCAAGTGACGGAGAGCAGGGCATCTTCCTGCCAGCTACGAAGATGGGATCAGTGTTGCTCTCCGCTACGGTGACTGTGGCGCGTGGTGGCAAGGCGCTGGTACCGACTATCGACACGGGCAAAGACCGGGTAAAACTCTCATCAAAACAAAAACAGGCACGTGTATACCACTCGACAAAGACGTGGAAATACTGGAGGTGAACGGCGCACTACACTCGAGTCAGTTGCACAGCTGGCTCGAGGGGCTGGACGACAACCAGGAGCCCACGGAGAATGAAGACGAGGTACACATTGGAGTCAAGGACGAGAAGAGTCGTGCGTTCGTCACGAAGCTGTTACGGGCGTATCGGAAGCTCGTGACAGACAACGGCGATTGCCCACCATCCACTGCGCTAGAGGTGGATCATCACATTGACACGGGGGATGCATCACCAATAATGCTGAAGCGCCGTCGTCAGGCTCAGTCGGAAGATGCGATTGAGGATACTAATGTACACAGCATGTTAGCGGCCGGGGTGATCGAGAAAGAGAGCGGCGCGTGGGGCTTCCCTGATGCGCTCGTTCGCAAGAAGGATGGCGAGGTTCGGTTCTGCGTGGACTACCGAGCCTTAAACAAAATAACTCGGAAGGATGTTTATCCTTTGCCCCGTATCGACGAAACTTTGGAAGCGTTGGGTGGTGCTGTCTTGTTCACGACGCTGGACCTGAAGGCCGGGCTACTGGCAAATACGAATGGCGAAAGAAGACAGGGCAAGGACGGCGTTTACAACAAAACAGGGACTCTATCAATTTGTACGAATGTCCTTTGGCCTCACGAATGCTCCATCGACGTTTCAGCGGATGATGAATACGGTGCTACGAGGACTAATATGGATTACCTGCCTTGTGTACTTGGATGACATCGTGGTGTACACGCGTGGAAGTTTTGAACAGCATGCTCTCGAATTGGCGTGCGTAATGCTGCGTCTTTCGGTGGCGGGTCTCACGCTGAAGCTGAAGAAATGCGTGTTCGCCACTCAGAGCACGGAGTATCTAGGCCATGAGCTGACCTCGGAAGGAGTGAGACCTCTACAACGAATTGTCACCGCGGTACAGAAGTTTCCGCGGCCCAAAGACGCTGTTCAGGTGAAGCGCTTCGTTCATCTTGCGGGCTACTATCGGAGGTTCGCTGCGGAATTCGGGTTCATCATGGCCCCATTGACTCCGGAAGGATGCAGACTGGGAGTGGACGGTTGTGCAGGAGACCGCATTCGAGTATGTCAAGATGGTATTGACGAGAAAGCCGGTGCTCGCGTATCTGGACTTCAAGCTGCCGTACCGAGTGATGATGGACGCAAGTACGGTGGGCCTCGTCACCGGCTTGATGCAGGACCACGGGAAGGGTTGGCAACCAATAGCCTATGCCAGCAAGGTCAACAGCGAGATGGAGGCGAAGTATAGTTGTATCACGGAGTTAGAGTGCTTGGCTGTCGTGTGGTTGATCAAACTATTCCGGCCTTACCTGTACGGACGACAGTTTGTGATCGTCACCGACCACGCAGCACTCAAGTGGCTCATGACGAGCACAAACCTGACGGGTAAGCTACACAGTTGGGCGCTGACTCTGCAAGAATTCGACTTCACAGTCGAGTACAGAGCGGGCAGTACGTCGTGGCGGATGCCTTGTCCAGGGCTCCGGTGCTGACGTTGGCAGCGACGAGAAGTCGACGACGGACACGACGAAGTACAGCTGACGGAGCGGCGAGTACGGTGGGGATAACCGGAGCCGACGAAGTCATCAGAAGACCAGGTTACGGAGAATTCGACGACCAGTGGAGACGTACCAGCCATGGAGGGGGTGATGCGAAGTGCCAGCGAACTATTGGCGGGTAAGGAGCCGCTGGAGCCAGAGCTTGGTAACGTGGAAAATGTGACAGCTACGCCAGTAAGGAACGGCACGGACGCGGGCAGCATGCGAGCATGTGAGCTCCCGACCGTGGACCAGAGCGGCTAAGCGGGCAGCTGAGGAAGCGCAACGACATAGAACAGTCGTCACGACGAGTGGTGCGGTACATGCAAATGAGTTGGTGTCCAGTGCTGAGGAGATGAACACTGTAGGTGAGGGAGAGGTGCCGAATGATGCAAGTACGAGCACGGTGGCTTCCCGAACGTCATATATGCCTAATCGACATACGGTGCCGCCAACCCGAATCGACGCTCGGTCACGTGGGTGTCGTCGGTAGACGCACAGCAGTCACGAACCACGGCGAAGGAGCGCTGCCAACGAAAGAACAGACCAGCGACGCACGGGGAGAACATCGCGACGTTGGAGAAGCCGGGAGTGCGAAAGAAACCGACACTATTGAGAAGCGAGCAGCTGGTGCGTCGGACTGGAGCAGCCCCGTATGAGCCGACACTGCAGCTCAAAGATGTTGTGATTAGCGAGGCGCAGTCGAGGAGTAGCGGCTGCGAGATTCAGGCCTGTACCACGGTATGAACGTCACGGTGGCATACGGCCTCGTGCTGGTTGACGCAACGCGGGGAGTGTGTGGTGTTGCCTCCAAAGCTTTGGGCAGTCGCGCTTAAAGAGAGTCACGACTCGGTGTGGGCGGATCATCCGCAGGCTCCACACACCTACAGTCGTATTGCTCAAGCGTTCTGTGGGCCTGGCTTCGACACGAAATGAAACGCTGGGGTCCTTGGTGCCAAGAGTGTGGAGTTAGGAAGGCGCCTCGTGCCGCCCTTTTCCACCTTTCGTAGTGGTGCCGTGGGGGTTCCCAGGGCCCTAAAATTTTCGGGCCCCCTCCTGGTGACGGGTGGTGGACCCGGGGTCCACCACCCGTCACCGGCAGTGGTCCAGCATGTTATAGCAGTTGTAGAGTATATGACCAGGTACGCAGTTGCGAGGGCTGTCGGGCAGCACACAGCCGGGAGTGTAGCCGCGTTCCTCGTGAAGGACATTGTGTTGAAGTTCGGACCGATCAGAGAGCTGCTAACGGATGAAGCTCCGGAGCTGACAGGACGAGTGATCGAGCAGTTGGCAATCATGCTCCAGGCCGAACAGGTGAACCCTGTTTCGATCATGCCGCAGATGATTGGTCTGGTGGAGCGGTTCCACCGAGTCTGAAAAGATTGTGTGGCAACGTACATGCAGACAGACGAACAAAAGGATTGGGGCGGGCGGGTCGACTTCGCAGTATATGCCTACAACGCAGGGCGAAACTCGACGGTCTTGCTATCACCAAACGATTTGATGATGGGGAGGAAGTTGCGATCCCCGAGCGAGTTACTGAGAATGATGCATGTGATGGAGGCCGGCGAGCTCACGGCGTACCACAAACGTCTACTGGTGGCGATGAGAGAAGAACAACGATGTGTAGAGCGAGCGCGTGAGCGCGATCAGCTACGACAAGCTCGGTACTATAACAGGTAGGTGCGGAAGCGCCGAAGTTTTAAAGTGGGCGACGGAGTATGGATGTACAGGCCACCAAGAGGGCCGCGAGCGTCTAAGTTTGTACACCCGTGGATTGAGTCGCTACGGATCGTGGAGCCTGCCGGTTACGCTAACTACGTGGTGGAGCGAGAAGATAAGGACGGTGGAGTCGAACTATTTTTGTCGCATGCTTCGTTCTTAGTTACCTACCATTTCCCTAGGTCGTTGTTGAGAAGACGGCGATCGACATCGAAGCACAGCTAGCACGGGAAGATGAAGTCGAACGGACGCTCGTTGTCGAGACGTCAGGCACGTCTACCCGAGCAGCGGTTGCTCTTGTCCAGACGACCACGGCGGCAGGAGCTCGAAAGCGAGATGAAGGATCAATGGCGCGTGAAGGAGCAGAGCGCAAATCGCGTGGATTGCTGGTGGAACTCAGACGGAGACGACGGCGTAACCAGGCCGGACAATACGTGCTTGAATAAATATTACGACCACTGCGAGACGAGCGATGCAGCGGCACTAAGACCGGAAGTCACGAGCAATGGCTCTTCACGTCGGAGTACGACCAACGCTTTCACGACGACAGAGTCGTGGAAGACTCTGGTATTGAAGAAGGCGTGTAACAGGGCACTAGTACGAAGGTCTTTGCTGCTGAAGTCGAGCAGCTGCAACCCGGCGCGGAACACGGACAGCTCGTTCGTGGGGAGGCGGAGACGACGCCAGCTCACGGGACCAGCGGTGAATGTGAGCGGCGGAGGCTCGCGTGACAGGAGGAGCCACTGTACGGTACACTCCGCACCCACAGCTGCGGTGGGGTACGACACCGGCCGTACTGTCGAAGGGCGATGAGTGTGTGATCGTGGGGCTCATGCAGAGCAATAAACGAAAGAATGAGGTGATCGTGTACCCCGAGACGACGAAGTGTAGCACGGTGAGAGGCCAGTAGAGCAGCTTCTTCACGTCGAAGTAGGCCGAGAGCTCGGGCTGTGATATGGATACTGAGCGGCGAGCGGCGGCTCGAGCTCAGTTAAGAATTGGACCCGTGAGGCGCAAGTGGCTTAAGAGCGAGCAAAGTGGTGCGTCGATTGCGGGTGTGTGGCCCAGCATTTGCAGCTCCTTGCGAGCCAAAGCCGGAGAAGCGCGAGAACGAGTCGAGTATCGGGCGAGCAGAGCTTCCTGACATTCGTTGAGCAGAGCCGTAAGGCACAAAGCGAGTGGGTAGTTAGGCAGAGAGCGACGGGGTGGAGCCGTTCGTGGTGGTGGTTGTGGATCGAGGAAGCGGGCGAGTTGGAAGTGGCTAGCCCTTTGACGAGTCTGATTGTTGTTGCACGCGGGCTCACCGGCGGTGACCAGTGCGACGGACACAGGATTCGACGTGTACGTGACTGCCCCGGTGCCCCCTAAGCGTGGCTGCGCGGTCAGCTGCGGTCCTGTGAGAGGCAGGGTTGAGCAGTAAGGCGCAGCTGAGGTTGAGGTTGAGCTGACAACTCTACATCGAGTAGAGTTGAAGGGGCTGAGCTGAATACAAATAGGGGCGGACGCGTCCCGGCGGCTTAAGAGCAGCCAGCACGGTGTTTATTGCGTTCGAGCCTTGGAACCCTGGTAGTTCACCGACAGACGGTGACAGAGAGAGGTGCGACCCGGCGGCGAGCAGGCGTCCCGAGACTCGTTACAACAGTATAGTTAATGTACATGTATTTGTTGCGTCGGATTATAATAACAGCGCTTCGAAAAGGTGTTGATAGCGACTTCGGACGCGGTCCGCTTACTGTAGTGCCCGCATTAATAAAAATGTAAATCCAGAGCTGTTCCGTGGAGAAGCATGGTATTGTGTTATTATTTATTCGGAACCCCCGGTGTGAACCCCACGCCGCCGACCTGGCCGGCATCTGTGACCACGATGGGGCTGACAGGGCGGCCCGATGCAGAGCCGCCGAGTTCGAACACATCTAAATGAGACAGGTCGTCGCGCAACACCTGCCCGAACACCACGTGCTTGCCGTCCAGCCAGCTGAGCTGCCCGTGCCAAAATGATCATCACTCACGGCAACTTCAACACCAGAAGGGCGAGGCAAATAAGGACATACCCTGCCAAAGCAGATGAAAAATTGCGAGCGGTTGCTCGAGTTCTGGTGTGCCATGGCCACTGCTCCCACCTGGTGCTACAGCAATACATATCGCGATCAGTTCACTGTATGGTAGGAATTCTAGATACATGCACGAACCGAGTAGAGGAAGCTCTGCCGTCGATAGTATCGCCGATGTGGCAGTCGTCAACATGTAACAACGATCAAAACATACACAACCTGGGTTAACAGCTACAGCAATGACAGCAATGACACGCACCTCGTCGTCGAACATCGTCCCCAATGCAGCCGCGCCTCCGGCTCCGTTTCCTAGGCCACAATACATCATCCACGTCATGGAGGGCTATTTCGACCAACGTGTTCGGCTCTCTTCTCACTGTCAACGCACCGTGGGTGATGTCTCCACCCTGCATCATAAATCCGGGGATAACGCGGTGAAAGCGTGTATTCTTGTACCACAGCGCCTTCACTTTTCCTTTGCCTCGCAGCTCGCCTACAGATGCGGTTAAGCGGCGAATAGCAAACTGTTCTTGGGAGACAGGTCAGCCTCCACCTGTGCATAGCAGACGAAAGTTTTCGGTTGTGATGGGAAGTTCATCGTGGAAGAGCTGGTGGAAAATTCAGCACCGTAAAAGTCCATTTACTCCAGCTCAATTTCCGTAAACCAATCCAGACCTCAATATGCAGACGGTGCGGTGGCTGATCACCCACACTCAGATCCAGATACACGAGCGGCGGTCCATGCTCGGACCCCAGTTGGAACTCGTCCTTCGTTTTGATGCGAGCATTTACCGCCATGATGTGGCGGACCGCGGTCAAATATTAAATATTACTACCACTTTTTCGAGCGCCTATTTTCAGCGCCGTGGATGCAGCATGTATTATTAATGTTAATAAAACCGTTTGTCGGCACAGTACATGTAAGTGGAGCTCTGCAAAGACGAATTCGAACTGCGCAATAGCACAGACCCAACCATGTCGACATTGTCCACCAGCGCTAGAAAACAGAAAGAGGACGACATCGAGGTAAATGGATTTCGCCCGCTCTCAGTGTTACTTTTCAAATCAACTCGCCATTGCGGCTAATTTCCTTTCGACTTCGTAGCGCCTAGTGAAATGCCGGCTTCGTTCCGAGGTTGAGGCTCGCAAAGCTGTAGAAAGCACCATGAAACGCGCAGTACAAGAGACACGGGAGTTGAAAAAAGAGCTCGTTCTTTTGCGCCAGGAAAAAGAGGAACTGCGCTTAGCCGCTCGAAAAAATTTGCTTTCAGCTTCTATTAGCAGTGGCAAGGAAACGACTCGAGGAGGCAGCGCTGGACCCAACCGAGACAACCAGAGTGGTAAGCAAGGCAGTAATAAGACTGTGGAATCGAAGTTGAGACAGCAGATCCATCATCTCACAGCTCGAAACAGCAACTTGGAAACCAGCACAAACGAGTTGCAGCAGCAAGTCTCTGATCTCGAGGCTCAAAAAGCAGCGGAAGTCGCCCAGTTTACTGCAAACTTGGAGGAAAAAGACCACAAAGTAACATCTCTGCATGCTGAGCTGAAGAAAACAAAAACTGCTGTCGACGAGACGAAACGCAGATGCCAGAAAATGCTGAAGGAGGAGAGAGAGAAAGCCCAGCGAGCTCTCCAGGAAAACGAGCAGCTGGTATGTTGTACGAAGACGCTCCAGAGTCAATTAGCGCTACTGCCACAGCTGAAGAGGCGACTAGAATACGCCAAGGAGAAGCGGGCTAACGCGGTTGAGGTGTGGCAAAAGAAACTGGAGAAACGTGATCAGGCATTCTTGCGCGAGGAAGACGCGAGCAAGCAGAAATTGGCCGAGAGTGCCGCCCAGATTGCTGAGCTCTCAGACGAGAAGGAGAAATTGCAGGTGCAAGTAGAAGAACTTGAGCAAAAACTTCGAGATGTCGACTCCAATCACCAAACGGAGATGCGTCATGAGGCTAATCGTTTGGCTGAGCTGGAGAGCGCCACGGGACAGCTGCAGGAGAAACTGCTTAAGGCTGAGACTGCGATACGTGAAGCAGAGCAAGCTGAAATCGTGGCACGGGAGACACAAGAGCAGGAGACTCGACTACGACAGCTAGCGGAAGATGCGGCCGATGCCGTTGACGTCCGGGCTGAGAAGGCGGAACAGGACTTGGCACAGGCCCAAATGCAGCTAAGCCGTCTGGAGGAAGCTCTCAAAGCTCGTGGGGTCACTTTGGCGTATCTACTGAAGCAGCAGACTCCGGTTTCACTTGCCAGTCGATCGTCATCCACGAAAAGTACGAGTAAAACTAGAGCAAGCTGCACCGGCAAGCACCCAGTTCCTATGGCTGTGAAAGATCCGAGTCGAAGCAAGACGATGGTCAAATCGCGTGTGTCGGGTGAAGACAGCAACAACAACGCCAACGAAGAGTGAGGACAATGTAAACTCAAGCTTAGGCTAGCATCATCTTCAATGAAGGTTCTTAAAAAAACACGACGATAGCCACGAAAATGATGTACCAACGGCGCCACCACTACACTCGAGGTGGTACCGGTTGACGTCGAAGCCAGCGCAACATTATTATCCGCTCCGGAGGTGGTAGTGTTTGTATGAGGGTTATCGGCAGTTGTACTTGACGATTAAGACGCCGTTGTACTGGTATGTATACTGCTCAAGTAGTATTTCGTAGCGGTTGCGATGATGACGTTCTTATCGACCGGTCGCCGGTGAAGGTATGGCTCGTCGTAAATGTTCGTTGGGGCTGTCGGATGGTTGTGGTGGAGCTGGTGTGGGCTTTGCTGGCTACGTAATTGACTCGCACAACGTTACTGTAGGCGTTCCCGTAGGCGTCTTTGACAAAGTCTCCGTGGGCGATTCAGATGGGATTTTTTTCGGTAGGTATTTCTGACGGCGTTTTGGTCGGCGTCTTGTCTTGCTTACTTCTCGTACAAGTAGCGTCAACCGGTGCCAAACATATTCATGTAATGATCCAACTCAGCATCGTGTCGTTGCAGCAGTCCTTCACGGCGACGTGGGCACAACAATCCGGACGCGGTGCTGTTCGAGCCACTACAGATGAGTCTTTATGTTTCGTCACCCTTGACGGAAACATCGATACAGGTGTTGTCGGTTGGAGTTTCGTCAATGCTGATGGAGGTAATTTCGTTGTACACTCATCTATCTCCACATAGTTTCCCATTATTTTCGTGCAAATGAAAGTGTTCGTCTTTATGTGAAGCTGTAGCGGTCTTCTCTTGGCTCATTTTCGTCCGAAAGGTGATTCTCGTCGTCATCGTTATCGTGGGAATTCACGGCGGCAGGTGCTAGCGATTGCGTAGGGTAACATACCTAGCGGTCTCCTGCTTCGCCATCTACTGGAGTGCATCAATTATGGCCGCAGACGCTTAAGAATTGCCGCTTCGTGCTTGGAAGCAGTATCTTTCACCTTGTTCTCCTTGGTCAGTTCTTTCTCAGCGTCGACCTTACGCTCCCGTTCTTCTATCGTCGCTGGGATAATTAGCGGCGGGGCAGTCGAAGCCTTTTCGTCAAATTTCGTGGAGAATTCAGCGTGGTAAGCGGCAAAGCGATCAGTGCTGATAGATGTTCGGATCTCGCGAAAGAAGCGAAAATAGTGCTGCAGATTGTGCAGATACAACAAAATGTCCCCAAGCATCTCGCGGACATTGAGCAGGTGGTGAACGTAAGCGCGTGTATACTTCTGGCACGCAAAGCAGTTGCAGCCCGCCATTAAAGGGCCAAAGTCAGTTGCAAATCGCTTCTCACGCAAATGCAGCACTCCTCCGGAGCGCCTTCGTTCCGCGTTCCGTTCACTGGCACTGCCTCCATCTTCGTCCTCACTAATCCAGAAGATCAACGCAGAGCCTGCCTTAGTGACAGTGGCTGGGTAGGGCGACACGAAGCCGTCGATGCCACGATTGACAGTGTCCAGCACGTCGAGAGGGTGTCCAATTCCAGTAATAACACGTGGAAGCGATGCTGGAGTGATCTCGTTGACAATGACATCGATCAGCGTCGCTCTTTCGGGGCAAGTCCCCAAACCACTGAGGAGGATCGCCTGGATGTCCCGTTTGCACGTCTCGCCAGCACTCATCCGTCGCAAAGTGTGATCGTCCCCACCCACAACCACTCCGCACATGGGCGTTCGCGAAGTATTGAGTGCCTGACAGGTGTCCAGCCAGGCCAAAGATGTTTGGACAGCCGTACGGTGCCTGTTTCGACCCTTCTCGACCGGGATCTCGTCGGCCAGCGGCACCACAAGCTCCGGCTGCAGCAACTCTGTCGCACGCATGAACTCTTCAATGGAAATAGTACGCCGCCCACCGCTTGTCTCAACCATGAAGCCTGTTCCTTTGGAGCTCGGTGGGTTCTAAACAAGCAATTAAACACCAACTCAGCATACCTGCGTCCATCAAATAAATGAACGTGCACATACTGTACCGATTCGCTGATGTAGTCTCTAGCCGAAAGCACGAGCTCATAGTCGGTCACGTTCAGAAGTTCCCGAAAAGGTATCTTCTCGTCCGTCGCCAACTTTACTAAACTCAAGCTACACTCAAATAAGCAACGTCAGAAGCAAATATCACAGATCCAGCTTTTAAGCTTTCTAAAAAACGCTTTGGACGCACATATCGGCAAAGTCCACCACCTGAGCCGTCAAGTCCTTAACTTTGCTACAGTTATCTGCCCACCCAAGCTCAGTACATCAATGTAGATACCCAATCAACAGCTCTTGGTGATCCTCACCTGGAGTCAAGTGGGGCACATTGCCAACGATACTCGGCGGTAGGTAGCAGGGTGTCTTTGTCCTGTTGAAGAGAAAATTCACCCGCGCGAACGTCACCTTCGCCACGTGCATATCGCCACTGGTCGGAGATCCCTCCCGCGAGTCGTTCGGTATCGTCATTCTGTATTGCGTCTGACTCCAAATTGCGTCTTACTAAAAAAAACATATTTTCCCAAAACGCGTTTTAATCGAAAATTGTCTAGACAGACATAAACCACCAAAGTAAAGTACAAAATCAAGAAATCTGTCAGTAAAAGTATTAGTTAAAAACAAGAAAAGGTTAAGGTTTTTTATAGCTTAAGTATAGAAAGCAAGCTACGGAAGCAAAAGTCAATATGCTCCACATTCTGGACACAAAGGCGTAAAGCCATTGTTACTGAAGTAGTCGCTACTGCAATCTCTATGAAATAAATGACTGCAAGAGCTAATATAGAGATGGGGCTGCACATTTTGCCAGCAGATATGGCAAATACTGCGCTCTCGGTAGACGAATTCTCGGCAAATTGGACAGGCTGCGTAAATTCACTCCCGAGATTTCTCAATCCTATGATCGCCACAAACCCGGAGCTCACAATTCATACCATTTGTAGGACGGCCGCCTCCTAGCCTTGCAGCCTGTCGGTCTGGTCTGTCTGTCTGTCTGTCAATCCGTCCGTCGCATTCCCTGTCTTCCTGCTTTGACCTTCCTTTTCGCATGGCTACAATCACCTTTTCTAACACAGTTTTCTCCCATCTTACCGACTGCGCATATCTTTCTGACTCGACCTAGCCTTGCAAAAACTACAATTTTACCCAACAGCGGCACGCATTTAGCTCGCGCCCTGATTGGACAACATTTTCCGACTTTCCTCCTTCGGACATCACTGCTAGGGGCAAGTTGACTTGATTAGCTTGAAGAGTTAGACTCGTTGGAGTTCCTAACCTAAGGTCCTCCCACGGGACAAAACCTTATCAAAGGTGAAAAACCCGTCCTAGAAGGACCTCCTACTTAGCTAATCAAACTAGGAGAAGAAGAAAAAAAAATTCCTGGCAACCTGGTTGCTTCTTCTCGGTAGCTCTGCGCTACTTGGTCGTCCGGTGCTCTGAGCTCTGGGCGGCGAATCGGTGAATGGTCTGGATTCGCCGTTCGCTCCGGTTCGGAAAAGCCCGGTTACGTTCTTCGTACTTAACCGAACACTTTCCTCCTTCGGACATCACTGCTAGGGGCAAGTTGACTTGATTAGCTTGAAGAGTTAGACTCGTTGGAGTTCCCCTCTCGATTGGCGCGGAGCCTGGCTCGGCACGATGCCGGGTTCGTGGCATTCCCAAGTCGAGGCCTTGATCATACAACTTGCCGCATCCCGGATCATTCCTGGTCTTAGTCTGGTGTACACTGTGAAGCACCAACTGGACCACCGTCCCATTAGTCGGATGACTAGTTCGCTTTTCCCCGCTGCGAGCAGTGCACACGCTCCTCCGATGCGGAGAGAGTGAGCCGAATAGTCCTTCCTTGAGCGTCCCATGCTTGCAGCTGCTGCCTTGATCGCCTCACTCACACGAGACTTCTTGATTGTGCGTGTTGTTGACACCGACGTCAAATATGGACCCAGGGCCCGACCAGATACGAGCCACTCGGCTCGAATTCTTAAACACTGTTGGGCCGCAATAACTGGACACAGCACCTGGTGCTCGGTTCTGTAGTGGCGGACCGTGACGCCTTGCGCCCTTTTGTCTCCCTTGTGAGAGTCATATACCACCTCTACTGAGGCCGCCCCTGGGGCTTCGTATCCAACCTTGTTTCCACTCCGATCTCGTATAACCGCGTTGGCTGCCTTCACACAGTGGACCCTGTCCGATCCAGTGGAACTGTCCACAACTATTGGTCCCCAGAGCTCTGAGCTCCTGTCGAGGAAGAAGAATCCCAGAACGATAGATCCCCACAGCATTTGACCTTCTGGGTCATGGTGGTCTATGAGTTCCCACATCTTGAGCAACATTGGTGTAGTAACTGGCTGTTTCCGATCCACTTGACTGTGGGTACGTTTGTAACCCTTAGCGATGAGCTCAAATTCCGGATCATGGTAATTGAGCCGGCCGTTCCGAACGACTTTGTGTGCGAATGCCACAGCTGCCATCTTTCCTTCGAATGTCTGGTACTTGTTTCCTTTCCTCGCTCGGTTGTGCCCTTCTGAAGCGCACAACGCTGCGAATAATCCAACCACCCTCGCTTGTCGTGCCCTGGGCAGTTCGTCAATCCGCACGGGAAAACCAAACTCGTTGCAGAAGGATTCCCAGAACTCGAAGTTCCTACTGTACCGTTAAGCGTGCCTTCTGTGATGGACACACGCTTGAGCTGATCCCGTTTAGCCTCGACTTCCTGGAGTCTGGTTGTACCTGTTTCATACCACGTGTATTAGTTTCTGTATGAACATCGCACCTCGGAGTCTGCTCCATCCTTCGACTCAGAGTGTGTGTCGTGAAATGAATCTTGTAACGAGCCTGGCTCAATGCACATCGACGTAGGTCGTGCTGTCCGACAGGCGACTTGCAATTCATACTTTCGATCATCCTGGTGATCCAGCGACTGCTGTGAATCATGACGCGGCACCAGGTGCCTTCGACCTTCAGCTTCTGTCCCCACACGTATGTTACCGTAGCTAACGCCGCAGCTATTCCCCCACCGTCCAGGACGGGGTCCTCGAATTCGACATGATACCTTTCTCTGAGGTGCATGTTTGTAATTGTCACCTCGTTTGTATCTGCTTCCACCAGCCATACCTCATCATAGCCCGAGTCCTTCTCAAACAGTTTCATTGGCAAGCCTGCAAACTCGTTCTCAAACACCAAGTCGTTCCACCACAGTAGGTCCTTGTGAAGGAATGCTGACATTGGAACTCCTCGCTTGCCCTCTTTCCGACACCGGTTCTGAACCGCTGTCAAACGCTGTATGAACGGCTTAGTGATGGGTATGAAGCTGATGACATGGCGTAGAACACCTATGAGGCTGTCCAATCGTTTTATGGATATGTAGGACTTCCCAATCGCTTCAGCTAACATCGCATGTACCTTGTCGATCTTGCGTTGAGGTACTGTGATGCACTCGTCTGGAATGTTCCAGTCGATCCCCACCGCATGGAAAACGCGCGACCAGGTCGTGAACTTGCCCTCATGCCATCCATCTGATCCAAACACGAGTTTAACTCCGTCTCTGAGACGTTTCTCTGCTTGTTGAAGTCGATCGCCAAAGTCGACTTCGATAAGGACGATGTCGTCCACCCACTGGAAGATCCCGAATGGTTCAGTGTGGCCAAGCAGTATCGATAATCCTGTGCGCTGATAATGGCGGACTGCTTTCCCGAACACCGCGAAGAATCCAGGGGAGGACGTCCAACCGAAAACAGCCATACCGGAAACTATGCCATGAGGACTACGCGGCAAGGAGCCCCCAAAAGCCGATGCATGACGCGCGTGGACCGGCACGTGGTGAAATGCATCGGCGATATCCGCGACCATAGCGTAGATGTTGCACCCTGGGTACCGCCGACGGAGGTCGCAGACTCTGCGAGCTATAGAAACAAACGGATCCCACGTTGCATCCGGCGACGCCTCAGAGGCAGTCTGAGCGTTGACCGACTGGCCGTTCGGAGCCGACAAGTCGTGAATGATACGACCATCCACGTGAAGAGGTTTGTCCTTCTTGGGGACCAGGGCGAACGCGCTGGACTGGAATGTCGGGTCCTGTACCAACGTAGACATCCGAGCGACCAGGCAACGTCCTTTGTAATAGTCTGAGAGCAAGTTGTCCTGGACAATTTCGGCACCCGTATCGGCGCCTGGGTAGTTCGCAGGAACTGGTCGTGTGCCCGCCCGCGATGTCGGGTCCTTCCACGGTGGAGTCAAACCCTCCTGGGCGATTTGACCGAGTAACGTAAGTTCCGAGTACGACCCAAGATACTCCTGATACAACCACGGGCGTAGCGCTTTGTTCGGGCGGTAGTCGTCCGAAGTCTGACCGCGAAAGAGTTCGAGCGTACCGGCTATCCCCAGCTGGGGGTCGGCCACGAGCGCATCCAAAATGCGGAGGTCGACCTCTGGAATAGACAACGGGCCCGGCCCAGCTGCTAAGAACGCGGTCCCCAACGGGAATGGTATGTGCCGACGGGAGGCCTCGGCCTGGAGCTGGGCAAACACGCTCGCCGGAACGCAGCGTCGAAGCCCTAGGACAACGCACGACCGGGTCGGAGCTGTGTCGAATCGGGACCACATCGAGCGGGCCGATGTTTCCACCCTTTGGGATGATTCTGGAAGTCGAACTGGCGGGTGTATAGGTCGATCCGCCGAGGTCGGTGCGAAACGAAGCCGAATCAGGTGTGAGACGGACATGAACTCCTGGAGTATGAGGGACCAGGTCGCCAATACGTACTTCCTCGGACTGGCCTCGACCGAGGCAACTGATGGGTAGAACTGGGTCAGCGCAGCGGGGCTCTGAGCCGGCGCGTATGACGGCTGGCAAGGCCACTCGGATCCGGTTAAGATGACGTCCGCCGCGGAAGTCGTATCCATAATCCAGTTGCACAAGGCGTCAGACGCGATGTTGTACGCACGGCGCACGTGTTGGAGATAGAACGCAGTATGTCCGGCGCCCAGGGCGCGGATGGCCCCGATCCAGGGTCGGAGCGAGGGTGCCCGGCACCTATTGAGCATCAGTGCCTGGTTGATGACGACACTAGAATCTCCGAAAACGTAGGTATGGCAGTTCGGAAAGGCAAAACGGATCCACAAGAGGCATGCGAAGAGACCCTGGGCCTCCATCACGTTGTTTGTACGTGCCGTGACGAACGTACGGGCTTCCCAACGAAGGCGAGTGTGGGAATCCGACCACACACACCAGGCGTAGGAGCTACGGCCACTGACGGCTCTGCACCCCCCGTCGAAAGACGCGAAAATCGTGGGTCGCGCAGGAGGCGGTGGCGGCCCCTCCGGCCTGGAGTCCGACTCCGATAAGTTGATGACTGCCAAGCCGCAGCCAGGTATTACGCCGTCCGATGACGCCGGTTGGACACCAGGTGTCCGGAAATCGCACGAGCCGGTGT